GCGGGGAATGAGCCGGGGCCCGGCATGGCCTCCGCACGGCCGCCGGGCCGGGCCTGTGCCTCGGCGCCCGCGCCCGCGGGGCTCCGGGCTGGGCCGTCCGCGCAACCGGCCGCCTCCCGGGAGCCCGCGGACGGCGCCGAGGCGGAGGAGCGCTCGTTGCAGCACATGCTGCGCGCCATAGCCGAGGAGCGCGGTCGCCTTAGCCTGCGCCGCGAGGTCTGCGGCCTGGGTGAGTGACGGCGCCGGGCGCGCGCTCGAGTGTCCGCGCGTGTCCACCTCCGCGCGTCCCCACTGTGCTCCCTGCCCTCTGTGCGTCCACACGGCCCTGGGCTCTGTCTCTAGGGACCCATGTCTCAGTCTCTTTTCGGAACCCACAGAACCTCGAGTCTTGTGTCTCGGCGTTTCTGTCTCCTTCTGGCCATCAGGTTGTCTGTCCCGGCTCTTCCTCTTCGTGGTTCTGCAACTCTTGTTCCTTCTCCTGGAAGATCTGGGGGCCCCACTGCTGCTGCAGGGAGTGTGGGCGTGAGATTTCGGGAGGCATTTGGTCCAGAGCGCAAGGCAGTGTGCCCTGACCACAAACATCCCCAGCCCATATGGAGGGCTATGTCTCCTGATTGCTACAGCCTTTGTCTTTCTGCACCCAGAGGCCCTCTTGTCCATTAGCTTTGCCAGGGACCTGTTGGGCCCCTGCCCCTTGACCCCACCTACTTGGTACAGGAATCAGGGCTTGCTGCAGCCTCTCCGGGTGTGACTCTGGTCTAAGGAGTCATTCATCTGCTGGGTGGGGTGGGGGTATCTCATTGTTTGAAAGGGCCTAGGACTGGAGGTGTGGGTGGGGTCTTCTTGAATGTGAGGTAATGCATTGCTGATGCATTTGCTCAGACCCACGTAGCAGGAGCCCTCTCCCCTCTCGTCTCAGGCTTGTCGGTTTTTTTCTCTGTAAAAAGACCCCTCCCTTCGTCATGCAAGGAATGACTTCATTCCATGTTGTCGGTGTCCCCTCACCCCTATCTCCCAGTCTAGGCTTGGGTTCTTTTTTGAGGGGAAGTGACAGCCTCCTTGATTCTGTCAGTGCTCCAAAGTGGAAGTGCACCCTTCGAAGGCCACAGAGTAGCAGGGAGAGGGTGATGCCTGCCATTCAGGGTCCCTCTGTAGGCCACGCCCTGGAGGCTTGGTGAGGATCGGAGGTGAATTTCAATTCTCTTTTGAAGGAGGCCTGCTTAGCACCTGGCCTTCTCTGGCAGCAGGGTCTAGCACAGCTCACCTTGACTGGGGTTCTCCTGTGTGGCAGGTGGGGCCACCCGGGGGTGTCCTCTGAGGTGGGAATGTGGATGAGACCATAGCTGTCAGTGGTTCTCCAAAGAGGTGCCCAGAGGATGGTTTGTAGTTGAATTGCGGTGTCCTTATTAATGGGCTCAGTAAGCGTGTGTGAGCACCTACTGTGTGCCTGCCTGTCAGGACCAGCTGTCACCTGGCACTGAGTGTCTGAATTGGGGAGGTCTAGAGGACCGTCTCTTTTTGCAAAAGCCCCTCAGCAAGCTCCAGGTAGCCCCTTCACACTCCCCTCTGCACACACCTTTGTTGTCCCTGACCTGAGAGCATCCATCGTCACTCCTGTTCCAGTCCCTACCCCTAGACAGCCTGCATGGTCATTCCCTAAGAGCAGTAATCCCAGTACCCAACCTTTCCTGGGAACTCACTCCATGCCAGGTGCTCTGCGCATGCTCCGTCAGCTCAACCCTGACACAGTATCACTTTTGCCAAGCAGGAATATAATCTGTCACCCGTGAAGAGCCTTATTTAGGGGCAGCCCAATGAGGAAGTGGCACAGCTGGCTAACCGCTGGCTGCTGTGACCCTAGAGCTTCCCCACGTCCCCAGCTGGGCCTGCTGGGCTCGTTAGCATGTACAGTGACCTCAGCACTTCTCCTAGCCTTGAGTCCTTCCTCACATGCCAGGCTCCGGCCATTACCTAGTTCCTAGACTCAGGTGTTTTAATGTTCTGGATGTCTGCATGTGCTGCTGTTTACTCCGCACAGGAAGCTGGTCTGCTCACTTGTCCCTCACACGCTGCAAGTTCTCCTTTGAGTCTCAGTTCCCTTCTGTTGCCTGGAAGCCATCCTCCACACCCCGTCACAAAGCCCTGTCCCCTTCGTCCTAGACGGTCGGCACCACGGTGGTGTTGTAATGAGCTGTGTGGCTGTCCCTCCGGCTAGCCACCAAGAGCCACGAGGGCATTGCCCGGTCCCTTACGTTGGTGCCTAGCACTGGGACACATACAGAACACGTGCTCAGTAAACTTGTGGGGAACAAATAAAGATCTCCCTGCTGGCGTGGGAAGGGTGTGGATGGCCCAGGTGAGTGGAGGTTCTTAGAAGAACCTGTTCTTTTCACACGGGAAGTCTGATGTTCAGGGAGGAAGGGGCAAGCCTGATAGGGACTTGCGTCCCAGTTGGGTTAGGGTCTTTTTGAGTTGCTGTGACAAAAATACCTAACAGAAGCAACTTAGGGGAGGAATGGTTTGTTTTGGCTCGGAATCCAAGGATAGAGTTCATCATGGCAGTCAGTGCTTGAGGCCATTGGTCGTGTGGCAGCTGCACCAGGAAACAGAAGAGAGAGAGAGAGAGAAAGAGAGAGAGAGAGATATGCTGGCACCCAGCTTGCGTCTTCTTATACAGCCCAGAATCCCACTCCATGAAATGGTGCTGTGTATTCTCAGGGTGGATCTCCTCATGTGTATTAACCCACTCTAGATTAATCCCCAGGGGACCTGTCTCTTAAGTGAGTCTAGATCCTGTCAAGCTGGTGGTGGGTGTTACCCACCCCAGCCAGCCTGATGGTTGGCCCACACACCCAGAACGGAGGAACTCAGAGCTTCCCCCCCCCCCCCCCCCCCCCCCCCCCCCCCCCCCCCCCCCCCCCCCCCCCCGTCAGAGCACTCTACACCTTTTGTGCAGTCAATTTATCCTTTCAGCCTGTGGGACAGATTGCAGTTTGGTTCTGCTTTGTTTTGGTGTCTCTGTTTTGTCTTTTGGATTCCATCTTGTCGCCCTCACTCGCCAGCTGACAACCTGTTGGGTCTATGAATAAGTTTATCAGCATTGGGAATTGAACCTAGAGCCTCATGCGTGCCAAGCACATACTTTATGGCTGAGTGACACCCACAGCCCATTATCAATGAATGTAGGTGTTTAGGTAAAGCTTGTTACTCACAGCTCTGCTGTGGCCTCTTAGGCTGTTGTTTTCCTCCTGAAGTTGTTCTGAAGGTGGCCAGGAGGCCCTTGGGAAGGCTGCTGTCCTGTCACGGTGTCTGTTCATGAGATAACATGACGCTTCTGGCCCTATCCACATAAGGATGGTCACTTGGCTCCCATGAAAGGCACTTTGTAGCTACAAACCTGATTTCATACTCTCTCCTGTGATGGCCTCTGTAGTAGAAACATTTTTTGAGCACTTGCTGTGTGCCAGGGCTTGAGGCTGGTCCTTGCTTTCTTGCAGGACACTGTCTCTCGGGAGGGAGGTACACAGGCAATTGCTAGGTTGAGTAAAAGCCCTGCTGGAAGCAGCCAAGTTTGTGTCTGCCCGTGCAGCAAGATTTTGATGTTTCCACAGGAAACTGCTTATGGCTCTGTAGTTTCCAAGGAACTCTGGTCACCCCGAGCTGGGGCGGGCCAGGAGGGTCAGTGCCCATGCATATGATACAGCCATTTAGAAGCCTACAGCTTCCCCTAGGGCTTCTTCGGGGCCCTGCATGGCAGCCTCTTGCTGCTTGCCTTTGTCTCTGTCTTGGCTGAGTATTTTTGGAGGCCTCACACCTGGATGTTGGGTTTCACTGTTTAGTAAGTGGTGGAGGGGTCCTCCCCTGCCCACAGTGCTGCAGGAGGAATGATTTGTGGTCACAACTTCCGTTTATCTTTGAAATGCGCCTAAGAGGTAGGCCTCATGGCAGTGCCTGGAACACAGGTTTGGAGGGGTATTATTGTGCCCTCAACCCCAAAGGTAGAAAGAGGCAGGATGTATCTGAGTTCAGGCTCTTCATGGAGCAGAGGCCCACCCACACTTGTCCTTAGGATTGCAGCAGCTCTGCCAGGTTGGTGCTCTTGGCTGCTTGACTGAGGTGGGGCCAAGGAAAGGGTCACAGAGACAAGAGATAGCTTCAACTGGGCCACCCAGGGGAGGGGTTTTTGAATGGCGTTGGCCTCTGGGCAGATGTGAGATTGGGAGGTACTGGTTGGAGAAGCAGGTCCCGGGCAGTTTGGAGGGGGCTGTGAGAGTTGAGGCTGGAGCAGTGGTTTAGGCTGAGTGTCTGAGAATCCGGTACTTCCCAAGACTGGCCTCTGGGAGTTGTGTAGGTGTGGCTTTGGGCCTGGGCAGGTGCTGCCTCATAGAAGTCTGCACACAGCGTGCCATAGGCCAGATGCCCTTGCACCTGTAGCACTTGTTGTGGCTTGGCTCCTGTGAGGGAAGCCCTGCCACCTCACCATTTCACAAGGCGAGGAAGGTGTACTTCAGAGAGGATGGGCTCTCCTGACGTCACAAAGCTGGGAGGCCTGGCCAACTCCAGCTGAGGCCAGTGAGAGGCAACCTGGAGAAGGTTCAAGAAGGATGACGGAGGGAAGGAATGCTGCCTCCAGTGAGCCCTGTTCCCAACTGTGTGTCAGGCCCCTGGGACCACCTTTTGAATTGGGATGAACTTTGCGCACCCCAGCTGACCCTCTGGCATTTTTTTCTAGGCAGATACAGCTGTGGCTGGAGATTCTGTGGGAGGTGAGGCTGGAAGGGAGGACTGTGGAGCTCTGGCCAAGAGCCACGTGTATGTCCTGACTGTAAATAAGAAAGAAAAAGAAAAGTAGACAGGCTCTTTGGGGACATGGGAATAAATTTAAAAAGCAGCAGGTAAGAAACGAGCCATGCCATGCACGGACTCAACGAAGCTCTAGTGGAGCCAGTGCAGGCTGAGCCGCCACCTGGGGTAAGGATGGCTGTTGGGACATCTGCCCGTAGGATTTTTTCAGACTCTAGAAATAGAGTTGGTAAGAAAGGGAAAGTGATCCCAAGAATGGAGTGGGCTAGTGAGCTGAGGGAAAAGCCTCTAAAGTGACTGATTCTTATTCTGAAGTTCAGGCTGGCAGTCACTGGGAAAGGTCTTTCTTGGAATGACAGTGACCCTTCAACCCAACGGCAGTTAGCTGGTTGTGGGCCAGTATGGTGGGAGGAAGTGAGGTGGGAA